GATGGTGGAGAAGATCCTCGAGGAGGAGGCCGCGCGCGGGGAGCGATTCGCGAAGCTGCTCATGGGGAAGGTGTCGCGCAAGGTCGTGAAGCAGACAGCAATGACGACCGAGCTCGTGTTTCTCCTCCAGCTGCACCTCTGCCCTCCGCTTCTCAAAGCGCTGTCCGACCGCCCGCTATTCCCCCTCACTGTACCTCCCCTTCCTCGACCGTCCCACTCAAGTCTCAGCCCTCCTCTCCTCCCCGCCTTCGCTCTTCTCGCCTAGACATTCCCGAACCGCGCGAGGACGACCAGCTTCTCCTCAACACCACAGACTAGACGTTTGCGGACCTGTCGCGCGAGGAAGCTTCCGATTCGTTCTGGGTGCAGACCGCGCGCCGCTGCATCCTACTGCACTCCGAGCTTATCTCGCAGCGTCTCAAGGGAGCGCTTGGCGGCTCGCAGGACGTCGAGTACACCGTGGCAGAGTACCACGACGTCTTCGAGGGCTTCAGGATGAGGGCAAGACGTCTGTGGGGCGGGATGCAGCCATGGACTCACCCGCGCGCTCACCGCCCCGCGCGTCGCGTCCGCCGGTGGCCCCATCTGATCAGTGCGAACTCTAGACCCCGACCATCGTGCCGCAGGTCGCAATGAGTGCGTTCTCTTCGCCGACCGAGCGGGATACTCATCCCGTCCGCGCCCGCCCCACGAGACGCTCCGACCATGGACCCCAGCGCGCAGTCTCGAGCATGAAAGGAACGGCGCGCACCCGAGTATGATTTCATGTCAATGGACTGCCCGATAAATACGAGTATTTAATTAGAATAAAATTCTTGTGCACGCATAGAGCATATTTGGTCGCTTTCATCCCGGCCGACGTGACGCTTTGCGGGCTGCCCCACCGCCTCCTGCCTAAAAGAGAGCGGGCTGGCGTGAAACTTTTGATGAAATTCCACGGAGATCACACATTCTGACATGAGCTCCCGCCTTGTCGCCTTGTCGCCGTTCAATCTCATCTCACTGCTCTCTTGTCTAGCTCCCCTTACTGCCGGACTGTATTAAATTTTCTGTACACTTTTGCACCATCAAGCAGAGCTAACTGAGCGGCGGAGTTTGAAAGAAAGGTCGTACATAACTCTATTTTTTACTCTCTCTATCATGGAACCTTTTGCACAAGGCGACACCAATGTCGCCCGAATCATCCACCAGGCCAACAAAGTCGCCACCGATCCCGCGGCTAGCCTATTGGCACCCTATGATGCCACAGCAAGCTCCACCGCCATCGCCCCATCAGTTCCACCCGAGGTTCACGAAAAAGCGAAGAAACAGGCCTTTCAGCTCAGCAATAAGATTCGGGCAACCATCACGGACCCAACATTGAACCCCGCAGACGCTCTCGACACGGCGGCCGGCGAATGGCTCGCCACTCTCAAATCGACAGAGAGCCCGCTGACCACAAAAGCGCGCACCAAGTCGCTTGCTGATTGGGCAAGTTATCTGTTGGTCAAACATCCCGACATGTCAACGGAAAGACACTGGGATCGAGACGTGGTGGAGCAAAATTACCAAAAGTTCCTATTCACTATGGTCAACAGTCTGTCTCTTTTGCGGTGGGGGCTCGCTCATCATGCTTTCAGGTGACCCACACCCAGCCGCGGTCGAACAAGAAGACAATTAAGGCTAGCACCGTTGCTTGGTGGTGTAGCCTCTTTCTGCATTCAATCGTCGTGTACACCCGCGATCCCGATACCCACCAAAAATGTGGCATGGCCCTCCTAATCAAGCACGGTGTCTACCAAGAGCTCAAGAACCAGGTTGTACAGTGTAAGCTACTGCCTATCCTCTCGCCTCATTTCTTACTGTCCCTAGTGGTACATACCTTCAAGTTGGATCGTCACCGCGACACAAGACTCTACTACGGTCGCAATGAACTCCAACTTATTTTTAATGTGATATTAGAGGACTCCGAGAAAACTGGCCGTCAAGTCGCCATTCAGAACATCGTTCGGCACTCATTCCCGTTTTATTTCACCACAAGAGCATCATCACTTGGTGCGACACACAAAAAATGGCGAGATTTGAATTATGCAAGTATTTTCTTTCGTCTGTACTTTATTCTCTAATCGAGAGCCACCAGGTCCCTGTCTGCGGTGATTTGCAAGTATATCGCCTTGGGTACATGAATTACTACATACCGTTCTGCCTGAGAAATCACAAGGTAGACAAAGCTCTGTTATTCAGTCTGCCTCTTACCCTCCGACACAGATGCATATAGGCACAGCTACGGGAGTCGAGCAAAACTTTCGAATTACCGGGGTCGAGCATGCGCACAACGCGCTGTTTGACCTCACCGTCTCTATGTTGGCCCACCTGTTCCTCGCAAAGAGGTTTGTCACAAAATACGAGGCTAGTTGTTTTGTCTTGTCTGTGTTTACTCTACTCAATCAACCCAGACTCCTGCGGAGCTTTTTGCAGATACGAGCGCCGAGCTTCAGATCGACCCTGCCTTCATGGACACACCACTGTATGTGTCCCAAGTCTTCCCATCGCCTTCTCTGATGGACTCCCCAGTTTTCTCGAAACTGCCCCTGGTGGGCGTGAGTTTGCATCGCCGGAAAAAGCTGCAATGTCCAACTCCGCATACAATGCCTTTCGCTATGCCTGCGAGCGGGCTGGCCTCCCACGCGCCGGGTATACGGCGATGCGCCGCGAGACTGGCAACGTCGTCAGCTTACTTTCCATTCAATCAACCTGACCGCTTCATCTCACATCGCTCCCCAGTTTGGCCTCCAGTTCGGCGCGCGCGTAGCCAAGGACGCATTGAATCATACGTCGGACGGCCCATACCGCGACTCGTATTCCAGAAGCACGGCCAACTATGATTTCATCGCAGTCCGTCTCGGCGAGAAGCGCGGCACCGAGGAGAGTGCCCCTGGGGAGATCCTCCGCGTGTGTATCCATCCATCTCACGTCACAGACAGCCTGCTCATCCCTCCCAGGAGAATCACATCAAAAACGCGTTCACCAGCGCCGCCGTAGAATGTCTTGTCCGACGAGCGCAAGAAACCTCGGATGTGGAGGAAGAAGAAGAGGAGGCCAAAAAGGAGTACAAAAAGAAGCTCGTGGTGAGTACGCTGGATATCTAACCTCCAAACCGGCTCTGATGTGCACGTGTCTGTCAGGACTCCCCGTCCATGAAGCCCCTGCATGAAGCCAGGACGGCCGCATGGGAAGCCTACATCAAGTGCTTCAATGATACTGCCAAAGGGTACCAATCGGGCACGCCCCAAGCCAACAAACTGCTCAAGCTCGCCGACGGGAGCATGCCTCCTCCTCGGGGGGAAAGCATCCCTGTCGAGTTCAAACGAGGCTGGAATACTCGCAAGGCAACGCCCGTGAGCCTGTCCTCCTGTTAATCCTCCCCAGCTAATCTTTCCATAGTTGCGAGACGCGTTCATCGCCGCCGAGCAAGCGTTTTTGAAACAACAAAAAAAGGAGATGCGGCTGTTCAAGAGCAAGAAGAAGAATGACGAAAACCAGAGGCTGATCTCGGGGCCGTTGACGGGCACTTCCGATGAGCGAGCGCTCGTTGTTGAGATCTTGGCGAGTAACCCCACGACCGAGCACCTTCAACAAGCTGTAAAAGACGCAACAGGTACATAACGAATCAAAACCAACGTCTATTTGACTGATCTCGCTCCTCTCAGCTCGCGCGGCGGCTCCCGCGAACAGCGATTTGGAGAGTGTCCGCATCTGGGCATCCAACATTCAAAAGGCGCAGACTGCAATTGCCCTCCTCGATGCCGAAGACGAACCGGCCAGCGTCGAACAACAAAAGCATCAAGACGCGATGTTCGCATATTTCGACAGAATGACATTGTCTCCGGCTGTGCCAGAGATCCCTCGTGGCGAGGACGCGGCGCTCGACGACGAGAATGACGACGGCCCGCTGCCCGAGGGGCCGGACGTTGACGAGGCATCTGAGCAGGATATCCTCAACATCCCCATCACAGAAATACGACGAGCTCTGTTCGAGTACTATGTGCAGCCAGTCATGGCAGCCCGTGCATACGAAAAGTTCAAGGTGCGTCTGCCAAGTATTCATCTTGCCGGTGCTCATTGTTTGTGCAGGTTACCGAAGCAGCGGTCGCCGGCGGCGCGCAAGCGGGCTACAAATGCCCACGGTGTGCCTTGTACCTTCACCTCGACCCCGTCCCCGACTCGGACCCGACATTCGCAACCATTTCCAAATTTGAGCGGCACATGTCAGTTTACCTGTATTCGTCATTTAGCACTCCTGAAGTTGCCCCCAGTCTCTACAGACATTCTGAATGGGACGATCTTGAACTCGACATGGTGAAGACCAGTCCTGATGCGGTGTTAACATACAGATGCCCCGCTGGTGATTTCGAGTAAGCAGTCAAGCTGTTTCAATGGCCGCACCTGACAATCATTCTCTAAAGGGACGCTGAGTCTGTAGAACAAGTCCGGAATCATCTCCTGTCCGACTGCATACAGAGCAAGGTCTTTCTCAAGATGGCTCAAATTCGCGAAGACACGGTGCCAAAGGACATCGAGTCGCGCTCCTTCAAAGACAAAAGAGCCGGACGATCGAACCGTGCCAACCGGATTAACGTTTTGGATTACGATTCAGAAGACGATGTCGAGGACTCGGATGCAGCCCCTGCGGATCTCAACACCCAATGGAAAGATCTCATGGAACTGGTGAGCTTGCTCAATCAAATGATGCTGGTTTCTGACCTATTGCTACAGTCGGCCGGCAAGAGCGGAGTGGAACCCGATGACGCCAAAGTCCTGACGAACTATCTCGCCAAGTACATCGACGATGCTGGCAACTTGGTCGCGGTCAAAAAGGGCATTAAAGTTCCGGGAGTGGAGGAGTGGGAAGCCCTTGGCTTGGATGAGTTGGTGTAGGATGCGTACATGTACTTTCGCAATTCATACTACCAAAAAAAAAAACGACATTCGCCAAAGACGCACAAATGTCCAAAACAGTATCCGACTTACCCGGGTCGAACGGGTGGCCTCAAGATCGCTTTCTTAGGTATCCTTTTACAGTCTCGCGCTCTACCAACTGAGCTAAAGTCGGCTTAGCATCATTGCTAAAACAACTACTGGGAGTGACAACTTTATATCTATTTTGTGTCCATTGCGGCGAATCTCAGGTAAAAGCTGCGAACCCGACTGCTTTTTTGGTCATAGCTAGAGCTAGTCAATACGCATTTTAGCATATGGTTGGCGCAGATTCGCACCTAACTTTTTCTTCAACCTCGCGTTATCCACTTGCAGCTGTAGTTCATTGTTTATAGCATCTTGTTCCGCCAGCTCGACGTCTGCACAGTGTGAAAAGAAAATACCAACAAACGAAGCATACACTCACCATACTTGGCCAGGGTCGCCACTAGCTCGGCCTGAATGGTCGTCAGGCTCCCCCGGGCGATCTTGAGCTCGAACAGGCGGCCTCGGGATGCCAAATCACGTGACACGATTATGTAACCATTACAGTCCCACGCTCTTCCAACTGAGCTAAGGCGGGCATACCTTTAACCTCCAGATACTCTGTTAGATTCCTGTACATGTCGGGCCGAGACTCCGCAGCGCTAGCTTGTTCCTCTCTCTCTCTTCCCAGACATTACTTTTTCGGAGTCTTCCCCGTTCAATCGCGTTCCTTATATCCCTCCTTTTATGCACAATCCTGCCCTGCTATCAACTGGGTCGTTGAACACGGTACCTCCATAACGGCGTGACTTCGATCTTGAGTCAACCTTGATGCTTCCGCGTCGGGTGCAGAATGAAATAGGAGAAAGTCTCTGCGGCTTGTCTTCTACCCCATCCTCAACTCCATTCTCCACCAGCCCACCCTGAATCTATGGATAACCGCCTTGCGAAATACCTGCTCGGTCCTTGGGTATGTTATCCTCCACGTCGAGTGAGCGAGCCTGGATCTCAATCAAGCCCAGCTCATAGGGACGTGCACAGAACTGGTGATCCAAGGTGTCCTATCCGCCCAGGTATGCCTCGCTGTCATTCTCATATTTCTCTGCTCTCTTACGAACGCGCCGACCCTGTGCAGTTCGTGAAGTACTTTGGGACATTCCGTGCGGATCCCATGGCTTTGAAAGCCGCCGTGGTGTTCCTCGCCCTCATAACGTGCATTACGTCCATCCAGGCGTTGTGAGTCTTCAAATACCTCGGCTATAATTATTTTGTGAAGCGGTGTGCCAGTGCATCGGTATGGGGCAAGCTGATTCTTCATTTCGGCAACGTTGGGGCAGCGACGAGGGTCGAGCCGTTTTCGGGCACGCGTGGGATCTTTGTGAGCGCATTCCTTGTGTCTCCTTTTCTTCTTTTGTTCACTGAGGTGGAAGGGAGCTACAATCACTTTACTTGTCCAAAGCTACTACTGCTCGCGACTTTACGTGATCTCGAAGAAGTGGTATATTGTGGTGCCTCCAGGGGTTCTAGCGATCTTCACCTATGTCACCATTCTCATTGCAGTAAGCTATCTCACAGACCGACTCGCAGTATCTTACCCATGTAGCACTACTACATCTTTCAAGTACCGCAAAATTTTGCAAAGATTGGGACATGGTGTACGTATTTCGACTTCATATTCTACCAAGTATGCAATCTGAACTCAGCATTATTGAACCAGTCAATATATACCTCCCTGCGGCATTCGGTGAGTGATTCCTTCTTCTTCAATTTACGCCTCGAACTCGTTCCCAGTGGCAGACGTTGTGATCACAGCCAGCATCGCGTATTTTTTTATAAAGTCTAAGCGAGATATGACGCCACAGAGTGTGGGGCTCGTTAATGCCCTCGTCCGCTTGACATTCCAGACCGCTGCGCCCGCCACCACCTGGTAAGCATCGACCTCCATTTGCATCCCTCCCGGCTCATCTCCCACCTGGTCCAGTGCCCTCGTCAACTTCATCATCTCCCTCACCTTTCCGCAATACTACCCGGGCTCGCGGGATACAGCCGGCAGCGCCGTGAATACTGCCCTCCCCAAGCTCTACGCGTTCTCGATGATGTGGACGCTAAACCAACGATCGAGCATACGCGCGACCCACTTGTCATGCGAGGTACACGGCTCCGCATCAGAGGTCCATCTTCCATCTAGGGAGCTCGACCGTACTGGCGTGGTACGTTGCGTTATTTCGTCCGATTCTCTTATCGAGCTTGGATAATTTATAGGACGAGGAACCTAGATTTAGGTCCATGGTGCAGACAAACATGTCGCAGATCGGCACCGCACGCGACAGTACCGAAGGCCGCACTACCGACGTTAGTCCCGCTTTGTGGCAACTAGCAATCCTTGCTCTGTCTGACTCGTTGCATGTCTACAGGCCTACTCAGAAATGCACGGCACACCGACGAGGAACCTCGTCCGTCTTTCAATGGCGGGAAGCGAGGCGCTGTCGCAGTCGGAAGAAGAAATGGAGTTTGCGCCTCCCGAGGTCGATACGAAGTAAGACCGGATCCAGTTCACATTGTTTTCTGTTATGGATGTAACATTGTTTTATTTTCACCGGTGGCTGAAAAAAGTGAAAGTGCACTAGAGCTTGAGCATCCCTCGCATACTCTCGTATACTCAGCAACGACGGGCATCCACGCGTTGATCATTATGCCTTCTTCCCCGCTCGCACTTGTGATTTCCATCCCGCTCCGGTCATCATCATCCACACATTGCAACTCCCGGTAATTCGGCGCGTTTATATTTCCGTTCTTCTGCGGCCGCTCCTTTGGCACTCCGTATATTCAAGCTGTATCTGTTGGACGAGATCTTGTTTGCAAGGGTCTTTTACCACCCTGACGTTTATAGTAGACTCCAAGTTATTTTAGTCGATGCCGGGCCTGCGTCAGCTGCGATCGTTTCTTCTTTAATAGGGCTTGCCGCTCGTTCCCCCAGCCTCGAGAGGCCAAATTTCAACTTCAGTTACACGCGATGCTATGTAAAAGGGAAGGGAAATCACACCAATTCCAGTTTGAACCACAGCAGAAACGAGAGAAACTTGGGACGCTGAAGAATGAAACAACATGAAGAATAGCATAAAAATCAGCTGTGAATGCCAACATAGATCTTCACACCATGTTCCTCCAATGCCTCCAACTGTGGCCGGAACGCGGCAACGAGATTGTCAAAGTCTTCGCAAAAAGACCGACTGTAGGTGATCGTGCAACTCCGGATCTGACTGCCAATTGCCGTTGGGGCGGCCCAAGGCGCTGACAACGTATGCATGAGGGCCTCCAACATCTCGGGGAACGCGTGATTAATCTGTTGGGGGGTGGGGACGCGAATGGACGCGGCGAGGGTGCAGACCTGGGGGAGGAATAAAGAGCCGTCGCTGAGGCGCCGGAACACCGCAGTAAGCACCCCGAGCGACGCATCGCGCAGCTCAAGTTTCTCGAGGGCAGCCTGCGTTTCTAAAAGCTCGATGACGCCCTTGATTAGCCTTTCGTCTGTATCCTGGATGCGGATGGCGAACTCGCGGAGCTGGCACCCGGAAGTGGAGAGGAACCGGTGCAGAGGAGGCAGATAGTAATCAGCTGCTATGACGATGCGTTTGAGATCCAGCGCCTGCAGCGCCGGGGCGGCAATGTGGTCCAATATATCCATCACCTCCCACAGGTGCGAGGAAATGCACAGCGAGATAAGTGACATGCGCGGGGGCACGTCGGGGAGGTCGTCCAGCGCGGCAAAATAGATGCCGACCCTGCATTCCGCAATATTCGGGGTGTATTTCAGGATAGCCAAGCACTCGTCGGAGCTCAGAGCGTCGGATTCGAAAGAGGTCAGCTGCGCCCAGGGAAGCACTATATCTGCTGGAAGAACACTCTCCAGGAGACGAAGATGTCGCATAACGGGAGCCTTCCGGAATGCTGTGATGGGCTCGCTCACTGGGGCCCAGTAGTCCATGGCGCCGATAGCGAGCCGCTTGAGCATCGGAAGATGAAGATCGGGCCCGAACAAGTAAAACTGCTCGAACGGAAGCCCGAGCTCCACGTTGTGCCACGTGTGTGAGTGCCGCTGTAGCACGTCAATAAATTTCCCATCCGATTGAAAGCAGTCGACCACCAAGGATAGTGGCCAGTTCTGAGCGCGCGATAGCCATGTCTCGATTAACTCGACGGGGGTGTTGCTCAGAGCAATTTTCAGCGCGCTCCAGAGCTCGGGTGTGGCGACCGCAATGCTGCGCCAGGTGCTGCAGATGCATCCAAGGAGGAGTGGCGCTGAGTCGGTTCTGGGAGTGGAGGGTAAGGTGGGCAGACAATGCGCGAAAATTTCTGCTGTAATCTCTGTAGGTAGTGTGAGGACCGGATAAGGTTGTCCCCGTTCGTGTGGGGTGACGAGGCAACTGTGAGGAGGTCGTTCCGGGTCTTGTTCGGTAACAGGTTGGGATAGTCGCAGCGTATCGATACCTTCGGAATCGCCCATGATTATCAGGGCTCTACCGACTTGTTTGGTTGAAGATGAAATGACCAGGAGCCCGATGGTCGTCGTGGTGGTCGAGACGAGGTGTCGGAGCTTGATCGCGGCCGATATGTATTAAAAAACTAACTTGCACAGCCCCTTTGCCCCGATCCGACGCGCCTTCCCGGGATCGCAGCGTGAAAAAAAAATCGGCTTCATTCAAATTTGAACCGGGTTTGAAGTAGACGTCGGACCTCGGCAGTCTGATCCCGAGATAGCCAGGTCTCGATGAACTCGACAGCAGTATCGCTCCAAGGAATTCTTGGCAAGGTCCAAAGCTCCGGAGTACGCTAGCGCGATGTTGCTCCAGTCACTACAGATTCGATCTAGGAGAGGCGCTATGTCGGGAGTCAGGAACACAGTATGTGAAGATTGGTGCTGTCATCTTCGTAGGCATTTCCAGGCGATGCATGGCCCCGACCAGAATACTGTCGCTTGGTAGAGGTGGCCTGTGGAGTTTCGGACTCGGAAAGTAGTCGCGGACACGTAGAGAGAGGTTTAAGAGTTTCCAGTGGAAAATGCACGAGGAAATCTTCCGGGTGGAGAACTGCACTAGTCTGTGGAGAATACAGTGAGGGAAGCTCCCCAAAGATCTATAATAGTATTTTACACAGCGGAGGTATCACAGGTGTGGGTGGGCGGGCAAACAAAAAATTTAAACCTGCAGATTTGCGAGCTCGGAGACAGCGAGGAAGTCGGCGGGTTGGCGGTAGCGGACGAAAAATATTCAGGGGCTACCGACTCCACCGTTTCATAGATCACGTGTTACGCTTTACACTCGAAGAAGCGTAAAACATTCAGATTTTGCCTGAGAACTTTTAACCTCTGCTCACAGTGACTCAAAAATGCCCGATTTTTTCGAGGCAAACTTCAGGCCGTATAAAGTAACCGATAGGCGGACAATCAAGTGGTGGAAGAATTGTCTATCAATTTTCTCCTGCGCTCAGATGCACTTATGTTCAGAATTGAAACCCGCTGATAGTTCTGTCTCTTGAGTTCATCCTCTATATTTCTCTCCTGGAATTTGGATCTAATTGAGCCCACTGCGCAATGTTTCG